TTTGCCTGACAGTTGCCTGATTGCATCACCTTATCAGACACCTTTAGTGTTACATTATTCCTCCTGTAATTAACTCTTCTATTTCATCGGTCAACGAATAAACAAACAAATTCCGGGGGGCACTGGAGGTCTGTAACATTGTGACATATTCAAATAAGTATAAAAATTAGTAAGGTCCTTCGTCTGAAGACCACGCGCCGCGAAGTCGTATTTCGCTGCTGACAGGTCTGCTGTCAGAAGTGTATATAGCTTGTCTGGCGGGAGTTGGGGGGGGAAGAGAAATCTCATCTCATCGCAGCGGAAATTACCCAGGCCTCGCCCGGTGGTTCGGTTAAATAATTTTTCGTGTTTTCCATCCCGTGTCACCTCTAGCTAAATACGCAGAAGTGGATCGTCATCATCAAGAGTGTTCAGAGTGACGCCTTTGGCAGGGTTGGTAATTGGTAGGGTAGGTTAAACGGTTTTCCAATCGCCAAGAGCTACTTTGCGATATCCGAATACGGCAGTAGTTTCTTTCATCCCCCTCCCTTTTATGCGCAGGGGACATCTGTTTCGGAAAACTGTATTATATGTATTTACCATGTAGTACAGGGATTAAAAATTAACAAATATCTGTTATGGTAATCTAGTGAAAAAGAACGGTTATTGCAGTATTCATAAATTTTCCCAGACTTGGGTTGATTTTCAATTACTGTGATCAAAAATGTTCTTGCACTTTCATTCCGTACCGTCGCAGATACCTCAATGAAAATTACGTGTATATTTGAATTTTACTAGTCAACCTAATAGCGATGGGAACACTTGCTTCTTACTTTTCCATGTCATAAAATGCTAGTAGCATAAACATCAGTACAATAATAATAAGCTCCATCTTGCAGAATTTAAAATTTTCTGAAGCATTTCTTGTTCTGAAGAAACAACCACATCTGCAGGGTATCGAAATTGGACATATCTATCCTGAAAGAAGAAAAAAGAACCCTTTACCTGTGAAATGACGTTAAATTTTGGATAATCGCTTTTCTGTTAAACGAAAGTATAAACATTTTCCATGTTCTACTATCCGGATAGACGACTTAACATTGTCTTCTTGTTCGTGGTCGAATTGCTTGTTTTTGTGTTAACAACTCTAAAAGTTTATTGTAATTTTTTTTTCTTAACTTTAAATGGTGATTTAGATTTTTCTGTACTATATAATTTTTAATGAAGATATTTTGAGTTTTTATGTATTTTTGCGTTGCTCGAAAGTGAGAAGTGAATTGATTGAATGAGAAATGTATCTCTAGTGAAATTCGAGGAAATAAGTTTAAATGAAATGCATACAAGGAATTCATGTGGTGCCCACATCAGATTTTTTTTAGTAAACCTTCATCAACGGGGCATATGAGTTTTCGCCGTTTTTCTTGTGTGCGAAATAAACATGAGTTAGTCTTTGTACGCTCGAATGCATTTATTCCTCGGCGAATAGATCGAGTGCTTGCTTAAAATTAAAAGAGCTAACCTAATTTAGTCGTTTTGGTCTTTTTCTGAGCATTATGTGCATTATTTTCGGGAAAAATTAAGAAAGAGGTTTTTTCTATTTTTAGCACTAGAAGGGTTATTAGTCTCGAAACTCTTTTTTTCATAAGCTGAAAAGGGCATTAGCCCGAATGGGTTATTTCTCTCGAAACGGGATTTTGCCTCTTCCACTACACACGGCTCTATCACTTTTCAAATTGTTGCCAAAAATATTATCGCCCTGTATTATTTTTAAAGAAATTAAATAATAAATAATATGTATGTATGCATGCATGCGCCTCTCACTGTGAAAAAACAACGGTACCTAGGCCAGCAAAATTTGAATAACATAGTCCTCCACCCCAAAATGTGAACCTGAAAGTACGAATTTGATATTTCGTATTTTATAAAATTTTAAAGAATTTTTTATCAAAAAACTCAACGATTTCAAAACGAACAGTGGAAACACACTTTTACCTCCAGCGCTCCAGACTGTCTATCGGAAACGTACGCTGTTCTTAAATATTTTGTGATTTTGCAGTTGAATTGACTCGCAAATTAAGTCAAGGTAAAGAACATAGTCTTAATTGTAAATTTAACGCACAACAGGATAATAATAAAAACTGCGAAAAAAATTGCGAAGCATCTTTTTAAGAAAATTAAAAATTAATACGACGAATGAGAAAAATCACACGAAAATGTATGCCGGCACATTACACTGCGTTGAAAATTCTAAAAATATGCTGTTATGTTGCGTTTAAAATGTTTGTAATTTTGTTGTTGAATTGTATATGGCGTAAGTGCGAAGAAAATGATGCTTAATAATAAAACTAAAAAAGACAAGAAGAAATGAATTAGCAGAAGTGAGTGCAACAACAGGCTGGTAGACTGCGAGTTGAAGCGAGAACTTAAAAACCTTGACAAACCCTTTTGGACGATCGTTAAAATATGAGCTCTTTCAGAATTTTCTTTATATATATATATATATATATATATAAATTATTATATATATATATATATATTAATAATTTATTTCCTAAACAGTATTGATTAATTGATTATATTATCTTCTAAGTTTAATTAAAGTAGAATTATTTTAAAAGTGTGCATCCATACTGGTAAGTTATATTTTGAAAGATGTTTTGAAAGTAATTTGAAAGCAAAATGTTAATAATGTTTTTTAACGGGGACTAGAGTTAAATCATCACGAAGAATAATATTTCATTGTAAAAGGAAAAAATTAAAACATGTATCATTGTCATTGATCGGAAATTAGTTGACTTTTCAAGGGGAACAAACCAACTCCCGTTCAATGAACAATAATTGATAAAAATACGTAAATACGAAAGTGTTTCGTCTTTACTCGAGTTTAAGTTAAAGCCAAATCGGCAATTCTAGTCAGGCCAAATATTTCCGCGAATAGTAGGAATATGAACTAATGCTGATACTCAAAGAACTTATTCTCATGAAGCATTTTAGTCAATTCAATTTGGAGTAAAAATCAATTACTGTAGAGAAATCCTGTAAAACTCGAGTAAACCGTCCCCGACACTTTATCGTTACGCATCTGAGTACTATATTATTTGTAGAAATTAACATTGGAAACTGTCATTATGAAATCGAATTCAAAGTAAAGTTGAAATAAACATAGAAGATTATAAAAAAGATAAATAATGCAAACTTTGTAAAACAAATCAAAGAAAAATATAAAAATAATAGTAATATAAATAAGATCAGTGTATATATATATTAAATTTAAATTGTTAAAAATTATTTTACAATAAATTTTATTCATATAGTTTGAAACACTAGAACAGACTGAAATTTTATAATTACCTATTTAGCTCAAGATAGATATGAACAGACAACAAATTTTTGGGTATTAATTCATATATAAATGATATGATGTGCATTTAACACAGCTAAGGCGTTTGAATACACTATCTTGTATTTAATACAGTTTTATTAAAGAATCGTGAGTTAGAATAACTACGAAATCTATATTTAATAAGTTAGAGAGTTTGCTTAACTCAAATAGAACACAAATAGAATACAAATTAAAGTTAACAGTCTTTACAAATATTTAAATGGAAGTGTTCAAATAAAGAACTTATAAGATAATTTATAAGTTTTAATTAGTTTCAGGCATTTATAAGTTTTAATTAGTTTTAGGCATTTATAAGTTTTAATTAGATTCAGGCTTACCTATTAGGCAATATTATCAGGAGAATCTTCCATAAAGTGAAGATCACATGGCTGAAAAAGAATGAAGCTCAAATACAACGTTAGCACAAAACGCATCTGAACAACATAGGTAGAAGCCTCTCTCGTCGATATTATCATTTGGTGCCGCTCGTTTGTTTTTATGTTGCCAAGTTTCATTATGCAAAAGGTGATACTAATTTATTCTAAAAATAAAGGTCCTTCTAATATTGATACTCAAGACTTAAAATTCTGCAACACAACGAATTATATTTAAAATTAGCTTCGAATTTAAAACTGTCTTGTGAGGACTGTATGCTTTTAAATAACAGCATGCAGAGATTGCTTTGTTAAATGTTAGATATAACTCTTCCTTTAAAATTAATACCTACGATTCTTCTCACTTTAAAATTATTTGGAGAATTTATCGCAATGTTTTTAAAACTGAAAATAAATAACTTTTGTTAAAGAATTATACTTCTGTGTTATAGTAATGCTTGATCTACTATGGTCTCGGATATTATGCTGGCTTTACTTAAAAACACGTGTAAATAATGTAATGTCGGATAAATGCGTCTATCAGCAAACAAGCGAAATCTGCAAAGAAATTTTACTACTAAAGTGGTGAAATACGTGTGCGAGACGATATTTAGAGAAGGAAAGTAAATTGTAAATTAAAAAAAGTAAATGAAAAAAGGCAATGCAAAAATAAATTAAACTTTAAAAGGTAAATTAAAATAATTAATTTAAAATTAATATAAAGGACAATTTAAAATTAAAAAAATAAAATTAATCTCTGCAATGCAAAAGTAAATTGAAAAAATTATTGAAAGTAAATTGCAAACTACTGGCGTTGCAAGCTTAGATAAGGACTTGAAGTTCAAAATATGAATTACATTAAAACTCTGCGATTATCCGCAGTAAAGTATTTAATTTCTGTCATTAAAAAATGAAGAAAGTGTGAACATGAGGATTCGTCGCACTGTGGAAAGACTAAAGATTTCGCATCTAAATTTGTAGAGCCATTAGGAATTTTTTTAAAACAGGAGAGATGAAAAATGAGCAATGCTCTCGCCAGAACTCGAACCACAGATCTCTCGAATACGTGTCGAGTGTGCTGAGCACTACACCACGAAGGCATGCTAAAAAATACTCCTCCTTTTAAAGGGCGACTGGGGTTTTAGGAGACCCAATCGCCAAAATCCTGGTGGTGAAGAATTATTATTCACCACCTTTTAGTTCGGACGCCACTGTATACAGACATTAGGATTTTTTTGAAAATAGGAGAGATGAAAAATGAGCAATGCCTTCGCCATGACCCGAACCTGGGACTCTCGAATAAGCGTCGAGTGTGCTGACCACTACACCACGAAGGCATGCTAAGAAGGCGGGAGAAATACCTTATAAAGTTATCATAGCCATATTTCATAGGTTTCGCCTGCTAGGTGGGCTGGGGGGGCCAGTGCTTAGAACTAACTAACTAACCTTAAAAAATCATCAAATTTTTAACATACTTAGTCCTGAATGAACAGTTTTTTATTTATTTTATATTGTGTTATAGTTTCTTATGTTTATTTTATATATGCCGAAGGTCACTTAAAGTTCAAAGTTTTACCGTAAAACTATTCGTTAAAATTTTGAAGCGTTTAATAGCGCATTTTCGGTGTCAATGAAATAATTTTTGTTTCGGTGGAGAAAATTTTCAATTTTGGAAGACATGTTTAATAACACCCAACAATTAACTTAAATCTCATTTGCCAGGATATTTTTTTATCTTTACTCTCTCATCTTTTATAATATCTGACATAATGTATCTATAAGTATTACCTCTGCATTCGTAGAATAACGTAAGAGATATAATACACTATGGTAGGTGCCGGCCAAGGTATCACTTTGAAAATAGCTTTAGCACATTTGTCAACATCTGACCCAAACTTCCGAGTGATTTTTTTAAAAATGTTTGAGACGCCCCCCGTTTGTAGCCCATCATCTTTACAAAACACTTAAGCCAAGTTGTTATTAGAAGCGGGGGAATTCAAAAAAGGGGGATCAGCAAGACGAATTGGCGAACCAGATACCCTCATTCGTTTCCCTCTGAAAAAGCGGTTTCTTTGATGTCGTCGGCAACTCTAAAGCCATCTGAAGATGTGCCACTAGAGTATTGGATATTAATGTTGGTTAATTATATATAGATATGTCTTCCCCCTTGTAGTGTTTTCGTTCGATTTCATGTTCGTGCGTTTGTTGGTTCGTCTCTTTCCTTGGTAATCCGTTCTAGCATGCTTTCGATGTAAGAATGTCATTTCTGTGGTCCGTAATGGTCTGTTCAGAAGTAATTGCGATAATTAGCTCTGTCTGATGAATATTTTATGGATAAGGATTCTAAAAATAATAGTCTAAAAAATTCTGAAAGGTTTCAGATTTTAAATTACGTGCAAAGGGGCGGTTTTTTTTTTTTTTTTTTTTTAACATTTTGTGTGTTATTTTTATTTATTCAATATCATGTTCTTCGCACTTAAACCATAAAATTCAGTTCAACAGCAATATCGCAAAATAATTTTAAATTGAACATATCTTTAGAATTTCCGATACGCAATCTCACGCGCTGGAGATAAAAATGTTTTTCCTGTACAAGGTTGCCATGGCTCGCTTTGAAATCGTTTAGTTTTTTAATCAAAAATTCGTTGAAGAGTTACAAAATATGAAATCGATAATGAAACAAATTTCAAATTTAAATTCCTTCCACATGCCCATATTCTGTGGAAAATTACGTTAGTCAAATTTTGATGGCTCTAGCTACCGTTGTTTTATTACAATGCGAGAAACATACATACATTTATGCAGATTTTTCATTATTTAATTTCTTCTGATATAATACAGGGCGATAATTTGGTGGCAACGCTTTGAAAAGGGATATAGCCTTTGAAAAGTTTCACCGCAAAATCGCAAAACGAAAACAGTAGTCCTTCAGGGCAAATTGCCCCTTTGGACTAATAATATTGCAAACGATACGTTATTTCCAACTATGTTGTACATGAAAGTTTGCTTTAATTGAATTGAAATTGTGTTGTACATATATTGTCATAAATGTAGTATAACTTTATTCTCCGTTGAAGTGTTATATCACACAAATGTCTTTGTAATGTCACATGTTTTTTCAAAACGATTAAAATGCAATTTGTAATGTTTCCGCACACAACTCTGACATAATGCAATGACAACCTCACATAACAGTACTCCGACAACAAGTGAACTGTTTAGCACATTTACGAAGTTGTATAGGTGGCATCAGTAGTCAAAAACGCCAGCGCCACCTACATATTTCATTAAAATCAATCTTTCTTTTCAAACATGCATTTTACAAGGTGCTTCCATATTTTTGTCCACCCACTGTAATTTTAGTTGCCTGTGCCAAAGGACAATAATAATAATAAATTCTCATTTCCTTTTTATAAATTTGTTTATTTCTTAATTTTATCTATTTTTTAATTTATCAAAAGTAATTTCGATAAATGGTAATATTGAAAATATTTCACTTTCATATTTGATTCGATTTTTCAGTGAAACAGCACAGAGTTTGTTTTATTAATCAAGGGCAATAAGCCATTCTCTATAATTTTCATGCATTCAACAAAAGTAAATAAATAAAGAAAGAATGGTTTAGCTGAGATAAGAACTTCATATTGCAGTCTAACACATCAAAAAAGAAGTTACCATTAACAAATTTAAATAAATAAACTAATTAAATTAGTAAGAAAAATCTGAAAGGGTTCAGATTTAAACGGGCGCCCAAAAGGGTTTTTTAAGGTTTTTCTATGCTCTCGCTGAGTTCGCAGTCTACCAGCCTGCTGCTGCACTCACTCCTGCGAACCCATTTCTTTCCGTCTTTTTAGCTTTATTAATTCAGCATAATTTTCTTTCCACTTACGCCATACACAATTCAACAGGGAAATTACAAAAATTTCAAAATAAGCATGTGTTTAGAATTTCCGATGAACTGTCAAACGTTGGCATACATTTTTCTATTTTCTTATGCCTTTATGAATTTGTTACCTTATTTAAAACATCTGTAGTTATTTACTTACTTCATTTTACAAATTATTATACGAGTATATTAATAAGAGGTTGGATATTTTTCAAATAACATTAAAAGTTAATCATTCGATTATATTTGTACTTTAAAACTATTTTAGTTTCTACTGCAGATATTTGTGTAAGTATAAAAATGTACTGAAGTTCAAAATATTTATTTACAGCTTTGAGTAATGCATATGATAAAGCTTTTATTTAAAATAAAGAATATTGATCTACGTGATTCATGAATCTTTTTTCAGAAATTCAGAAATTTTTCTGCTTTACATCGCATATTCATAAATTAATATAGTCTAAGTGCAGATAAATTTTAGAGACTTAATTGAGAATGAATCCGTGCTATACTTGGAAATTTCTAAGTATAGATTTCTTAGATTTATGTTATAAAATAATAAATAAATATAATCTTAGATAGATTAGATGTAAATCTTAGATATATTAGATTAATCTTAGACATATTTATATTCCGCCAGCGAAATCAAGCATGTTGTGTTCATTTATTAAGTAATTCTGCTGAAACCACAAAAATAAATAAATAAATAAAATAAAATAAATAAAATTTAAGTTACGGAAATCTGCACTATCCCGTAAACGAAATTTTATTATTATTTCAATTCCGGAATTATATAAATATGATAAGCATTCAAATATTGCTATATATAGCGAAAACATTTCGTAATAATTTTTATGAATTAAAATATTATCAAATGTTTCTTTATTCTTTGGTACTCAAATGCCTAATCTCCAGAACACTCTTAGAGCATATGCAAACATTATTAGTTTCGTGTTTTCATTACACAAGATGAGAATTACGAAAACTCGCTTGCAGTCCACCTGTACGGCTACCGTCAAGCGAATTTAAGTTTTTACACTTAGAAGTCCACATATTAGCTATCATTCTCTATTTCTGCTTTTGAAACACAATTTTTGTTCTAATTATTATACTTCTGATACCTTATTGCAATTTAATGGATGTACTTAAGATTCAAGTAAGCTTTCAAAGGAATTATACGCAGCTGCTATTATGTTTTCAAAGGAAGAATGCAGCTTATGACGCTTTAGCTTGTAATTGAAAGTCGATAGCACTTTCTATTACCAGGTAAAGCATCATTAGAAGCTATTACAATTAAAAACAAAACGAAACTTTTACACGCATAAAACCCACTAAAACCAAACTGAAAAACTTTCCGACACTCTTCTCTTTCTTTTCCTGAACAATTTCCCGCCGTAAATCCGGCTGCTTAATCATTTACACCCCACCGCCGTAGCAAAGTTTTCCCCAAGCGCCCTGGGCCTCTATACATTAATCATCATTGCACCCCCTTCTTCTCGGGCCTCATTGGCCAAAACAAGAGCGCGCTAGAACAAAAAACAACTAACAACCTGTTCCGCAAACATGCTGTCACAGAGACGGAGCTTTTAGTAGCCATGAAAGCCCTGCTACGGGTCAGCCCCGGGGCAATTCGATTAGCCCTAGAGATGGTGTACTTAAAGGTAGAGTGAGTCTCGCGCCCCCGCTGCAGGGGCCATTAATCGCATCGGAGCGCGTAAGCCGGCAGTTGGCAGGCAGTCCACGTGTTGATTAAAGTTTCAGAGGGCTCGAATTACGTCCTGCAGTGGAGTTTTATTCCATGCACTGTTTTTCTCGTGTTGTTACTCTGTTTTTACGTCTGGTAGACGAGAACATTGTAGGCACTCTCGCTTGTCAAATGCATAGGGTGGCATGTATTTTGAGACAAGTAAGGGAAGAAATTGAAGCGCTTTAAGAGCTCTCTTTCTTTTTATAGGACCTTCCACAGTTAACGGTCGAAAACTTTTCGAGAGTTTTTAATTTTATTTGAAATCGTATAACCTGATGACTGCTAATTTTTAATGAATAAGGTAACCGAATGCATTTTGCAGATCTAATCGCATTTTAATTTACTATATAATGCTATGAATCATAAATTCTTGAATGGATTACAATGGAAATTATTTCAATGATGTCAGGCACAAAGATCTCGTATATAATGACGACCCATTAAATGTTGGTCTGCTATTACGAAAATAAGTTTGAATATATAAACGCATAATTAGATTAAAAAAGAATGTATTCTGAATTCTGTATTTAGGTTACTGAATGCAAAAATTTCATTACGTAGATGTTTATTCAACATTTAGTATATGAAAATGTTTATTCTTTCTGAGTACTTTGGCATGTTTAGGTTTCGAGTTGATTAAGGGATTTTTAATCTTTTTAGTGTCCATATTATGGTGTTACTAGCTGAAGTACCTGGCGTTATCC